AGCCTCGGGAATGCCCCTCTGGGATCCATGGCACACGCTCCCAGGGGCTGGAATTCCAGTTCCCAGCCAGGAAAAGATGTACCTGCCCTTGAAGGCAAAGCTCATATGGAAGAGCCAAAAGCCAAGTGGACCAAGATCCTACAGTGACATTTCACTGCCAGCCTTCATAAATTCACCCATGGTTGTTGTAGCTCGTGGATTGGGAATGAAATCAGGACAGGGTCTTTGGTGGGAGCTGCCCTGGGTCAAAGGAGGCACTGAGAGAGAAACATAGCAGGCAAAGGAAGGCAGGAGAGAAAGGAGGTGTTTTGGTTTGGAAACACAGGTGTCTGCTAAGAAAGGCACGGGCCTCCACTGAATTGGAAAAATGTAGACCCTTTCTTTCAGAATTGTTACAAATTTGGAATTAAGGGCAGCTGTCAGGTAAAAATATGGAAGCAGGAATAACAGTTTTTTATTAGGGAAGAAAATAAAAATATAAAAGAAACAATGAAGTGAACTAAAACAACACTGACAGAGTCAGAATACATCCTGACACTCTGTTGGACAGGGTGTTGGCCGCAGTCCAATTGGAATTGTAGCTGCAGCCCTCCAGGAGTGTCAGGTGTGGTTCTGTTGGAGAAGTGATCATGTAGAAAAGGGAGTCTTCTTCTGAAGAGGAAGATGCAGCTGTTCCTCTGGGAAATCCAGCACAGGAAAAGCTGTGTTGGTAGGCCAGAATCTCAAGACTAGATGCAGGTAGGAATGCTTGGCTCCTCCCTCTGGGCAGAACATCTCACAATGGGATGTTACAGTTCTTATCAGTCATGCAGTGACATTCAATGATTCATTATCTGTTGAAGCAGATGTCTCCCCTGAGGGAGGATTGATTGTGGAAGAGATAAGGAAAAACTGCCCACTTAACACAGGACAACTGCCATACAGATGGCAAATAGAACACATCTTGCTTTTCAGTCTGGGACAGGAGGACACAAAAAAAATCAGCTGAGAAGGCGGCACTCTGAAAATCAAATCAGAACTGACAGAAAATGAATGGGACAGAAATCAATAATTCTGATAGTTTTACTTATTATCAAAATAAATCACACCCACCCAGCCCCACACAATCCTGACCCCACACCCTCAAATTTGGATCTCACTTCTCCTGATCTCCTTCCAACCCCGTATCACCCTGGAGGCTGTGGAAGTGAGTAATTTTGGCATGGGACTGAGGTGGGAACCAACCATTTTGAGGTAGGGTTNGGACAGGAGGACACAAACAAAATCAGCTGAGAAGGCGGCACTCTGAAAATCAAATCAGAACTGACAGAAAATGAATGGGACAGAAATCAATAATTCTGATGGTTTTATTTATTATCAAAATAAATCACACCCACCCAGCCCCACACAATCCTGACCCCACACCCTCAAATTTGGATCTCACTTCTCCTGATCTCCTTCCAACCCCATATCACCCTGGAGGCTGTGGAAGTGAGTAATTTTGGCATGGGACTGAGGTGGGAACCAGCCATTTTGAGGTAGGATTCACCTATTTTGGGGAAAGATTTTGGGGTTTCGATTGGGATTGAGTCATTTTGAGGTGACAGACAAATCCACCTTGGCTTTTGGAGTGCAAAGATATGGAAAATACTACCAGATATCCCCCAAGAACCAAGAGATCCCCCAGAATATGTTCCCAAAGAATAAATTCCACCTCAAATACCTCTTAAATGGTGGGACTTTTGACATCTCAAGCAATAATTATTTTAGTAATTTTTCAGGTGTTTTTAAGTGAAAAATACAAATCAGAAGAAAATTAGGGCCAAATGAAAACCAAAGACCCCTTGAACATGCCCTGGGCACTAGAGAAAACAAACTCATCAGAAATTAAACTTAACACTCCATAAAACGCCTTGAGGAATATTTGCTCTTCCCACAAGTCACTTGTGATGGAAATGCAAATAAATCCCAAACATTAATAAACCAACAACAGAAGCAATTCTGTGGCAATTCCAAATTTCATCAGTTCCAGCAGAGCTCCAGCTCAGATGCTGGCAGGTTCCAAAAAGAGAAATGTGGAAATTTGGTCCAATACAGATTATTAAAGGAAGGGAAAGGTCTGTGTAGCTGTCACAAAGGACAGGGACCAAGAAATAATGATTCTCATATTTGGAAAAGCCCACAAGATTATGAATTCAGGAGTTACTTGGGAATTTAGCTACCTGAGCTGAACTTCTCGTAGGATTTAAGTAGCCTTGTGTTCCTCACCGTGGGGTGAATGATCCTTATCAGTCACTCTGGTATCATTTGTTCCCTTTCCTCAAGTGGTTTTAACAAACTTTTCAAGGAAGGACAACAAAATATTTTCTTTACAATGGCCACCCACAACAGCCATTTTCCTCATAAGTTCTCCCAAAAGT